CCGATCTAATATATTTGTTTTACCTTGTGCAGGCAAAGTGCGCATTGGATTAGAACTGTAGTAGTTCTGAACGGGAGTCGAATATGTGGCGCGTACCAAAATAACACCAGTCAACTCAATACATTGAAGGCAATAGGAATAAGAACTTCAAACTTAAAGCAAGCAACGGTCAACGGTTTTCCTGCAGAACAGAAAGCTAACGATTCTTGTCTCTATTTTCAGATCGCAAAAGAAGCGTTGACGCGTGACATCATAATGGCCAAATCGAATCAAAGATGCCCGATATTCGCCTGGGCTAGTCATTTTCAGGTTGAATTCATTTTCTCTACCACATCAACTCTGCTTTGATGACGGATTCCGCCTTCAGATCACTTTCAAGTCCGGAATTTTCGAATCTGAATCCGTCTTCACAATGAGTGGATCGCCTGATGTAAGTGAAATGACTACAGGTCAGGGCAAAAGATAAGACTAAGTGATAAAAGCGAGCCTCGCTATGAGCTCTACTTCCCCTATTTCATAACTCTCGCTAACGGTCATAGACATGGGAAAGGGGCGACCGCGATACGGCTGCGCAAATGGTTCGATTGATACATCGTTATTTACGAGTGGTGGTGTGCTAAACGAACTCCCTCGTCTGTTTTTGAATTTTTATTCTCTTGTTATCACATGACAAAATGTTCTAGTGTTTTTTACCAGTTATTGTATTCAAGTACAAGCAGGCACTCTCTGCTTCAGAAAACCAGAAGCGCGTCGAGTGCAGACACACACCACAAGTGACGACGGCCTCCAAGTAAATCTGGTAACTAGTGATTCATAGTGATAGCTGATAGTTGGTAAATGAGTTGTAATTAGTGACAACTGATAGAATACAACTGCAACAGGCTAATCATTTCATTGGCAGAAAACATTTACATTTTGTATAGGCCGTCGTCACTTGTGGTGTGTGGTCTGCACTCGACGCGCTTCTGGTTTTCTGAATGAGATTGTGTATCTTCGCCGGTTCTACAACCATTTAATAAAAGCGCTACTCAATGCTCGATTCAAACTGACAATTGCGCACACTTCGGTGATTTAGGCTAAAGGAGAGGAGATGTACATACGCTTCCACAGTGAAAAACCAAAGATGAGGTACTGCAGTTCTGGTGAGTCATGAAATATAACCCAACGATTAGCTTTTCAAACACTACGGGGTAACTCGTCGCCATACATGACAAAATACATCGCGAGCGACACTTCCTCTACCCTCAAAAGGCACGTCTGCAATTAGCGTCTCCCTGGCAGTGCGCACAGCTCTCACTTAAAGGACGAATTCACGATGAAAAAGCAACCCATTTCAAATTAACCTAGGGATGGTGAGTGGTACACGAAAGAAGGAAGAACCATGAGAAACGGCCCAGAACCCGAGAAATGGGACCCCTTCCTTGCCCGTTGATTTGAGCATTGATGCGACTCTCATCGCTGTGCCCTCTTCAACACTACGCTCTCTCAGCTATCTAATCACTCGCCACGTATTGAACTACGGCGAGTGATCAGATGATCGGTGGGCGGAGATCGCCGAACCCGCCAGCTTTGAGGCATGATAGGTCGCCGAGGTCAAATTTTTCCATGCGAATTGCGCGTCAGTTCGCACCCTCAGGAGGTCCGTGGGTCCCTCAACTAGGTCAGTTTCCCTTTCTTCGACCTTCATTCTAATCGTTGAATCTCTTTTAAAGGAGGATTGCACGGAAAGAACGAAGGTCGAAGAAGGGAGAAATCGCCTAGTGGGGAGAGCGGTGAATCTCTTGAGGGTGCGGACAGACACGCAATCGGCATCGAAAGATTTGACCTCTGAGATCTAGCATGGCTCAAAGTTTGGCGAGTTCGGCGATCTCCGCCCACCGATCGTCTGATCACTCGCCGTAGTACAATAGGTGGCGAGTGATTAGATAGCTGAGAGAGCGTAGGGTTGAAGAGGGCAAAGCGATGAGAGTCCCATCAATGCTCAAATCAACGGACAAGGAAGGGGTCCCATTTCTCCGGTTCTGGGCCGTTTTTCGTGGTTTCGCTTTCTTTCTGGTACTACTCACCATCTCTACCTCAATTTGGAATGGGTTGCTTTTCCATCGTAAATTCGTCCTTTAAGTTGACTCGATCCGAAATGAACTGACGCTTAGACCATGCAGGTTTCACATAATATACATAGTCTCTCATTCCAGTGTATGAAGTCGATATTAATAAAGACGAAAAACTGTTTTCGCTATTATCGGGCTTGCCTTACGCTTGAGAGACTGAAGTGACTGATTAAGGCCGCACTGGAATACTTGAGGTGCCCACCAACGCCAGCAGTGTTTTCCTCTACTTCGTCATTGACGTGGAGCGATCGATTACTGGTCCTCAACTAGTCGAGATGATCAGAGAAGTACAAAAGGTAAGACTGGAGGTTTAGCTCACGGGTGTCAGCTCAATACTCATTTTCAAATGGGTGTAATCGTTCCCCTAGTCAAGTCAGAACGCCTCTGTTTGATGCACCACTGTTTTGCTTGTTGCAGGCCTAGGATTGAGTCAAAGTCTAATCCTAAGCTTAAGCTTGAGCTTATTTCCTGCCTAAGGGTGTAGGCATTAACTCAAGCCTCGGCTCAATCTCAGACTCAATCATCGTGCAGCTCTGATGAACTGACCTATCGAGAGAACTGAATGCCTCCCATTCAGACTACGCCGGAAACCCACACAGCGTACATTCCAATATGGTGGCCACACGACAGTGTATCTAACGTTGCTAAGGGTATTAAGGTGAGAGCATGAAGCGCTCAGTAAGTCCTTAATACGGGAAGAATTTCAGAATTCTTTGGACGCGGAACCTCTCTTTTCGCACGGAGGCTTCGGAGATTTTGCTATGGAAGACGCAGAAGTAGCTTGATTTTCCGTTATTTATTGCATGCTTGTAAACCATTGTTGAAGGCTAATCACACTTAAAATACACCATGCGACGTTCATTCAGATTGATTCTAGGAGAAACTGCATCTTTGCCACATTTACTAGTAGAACCGACCGTTATTCGTGCTTTCTGAAAAGTCACCCAACGAACCCAAGATTGACTGGGACCTCAAATCTGAACAATGTGTCACCAGTTATTGCAGATCTGAGACATGCTCCAATGTCATCACCGAATCATTGAATTTGGTTAATTCTGTCGCCTTTCTGACAAAAATGATAAAATCTGATGATTTGAACGAGCCAGCATGCAGGGTGCACCAAAATTTCCTTTCTATAAAATCAGTGAAAAATATATTAGGGTATGAGTTTTCAACAACAGATTATCAATATAACGCCACCAAGAAACATAGGTTCATATCCCAAAATGTCTTTTTCGTGCTCATACATTTTCGAGATAATGTGAAGTCGTCCACCGTGGCGCAAAAATATTGGGAAGGAATTCTTCTCAAACTTCCTGCAAGTTCCACTTTAGTGTTTCGATTGAGTGATGTGGCAGGCCATGCTCTCCGAGAAGGGCCAGGTGGAGAAATTGAGTGGATCTAAAATGGGACTGGGACGCCATTCCAGAGCGCTTATGAGGCCTGGGAGGGTGCCCACGCGCTAACGGTGTTGTGCGGAATGTGTGACAAAGGCGCTAACAGCTCGACTCGAAATCACACCTTCGTTCGCAAGCTCTATCTTACGCTGTCGGCCGAGCACAGACCTACACGTATAGCAACATAACATTTTAGTAGAGCAACCGCGTCAAAAATAATTTTGAGGTTCACTTTAGCAAAAGCAACTGAAACTTGCCTTTCCATTGCCAGAAAACGTCAATTCGATCGAACTTTTACAGTTGTACCTCTGATATCATCAAAAACATCGAGTATCATCGAAAACATTTTGTCGCGTCCGAGTTTTGCCTGCTTTCCAGCTGTGAGGCAGTGCCGCCTGCAAAATCGTTTTGGTCCCATGCAGCGCAAAAACCCAAACGCGTGTTTTCGTTAACGAGTTGAATGAAATGTTTCCGATAAAGGCTGTCCTTCAACTAGTCATGGTTCTCAGCATTTACCATGTAGGTGTGAACTCTTTAATTGGGATTATGTCAGGCAAGCGCTGAATTCAGCAAGAAGTTCACATCGAGTATTCAGCACTTTGACACAATAACCGTCTTCCATACTCCGGACACGACCAGTATGTACGTATCAAAGCTTTTTTCTGCATTTTCAGCCCCTACCAGAGGGTTGGCATACAGCATGGAAAGTTGTACTCTTTTCAGACAACGCATGGTTCTACAATCACCTCCCTTCAATGTAGCTCACATCAAATGTCCGCTACACAGTGATCATAT